TGACCTATAAAATTTTTGAACTGTGACCATTAAATAATCTGTGACGTATAAAAATTAGTATTTGTGACTGAAAAATAATATGTGACTAATTCAATTATAAATCTGTGACCGGAATGGTCGCCGGAATAGTCGTCGGAATCGGAGCAGTCGTCAGAGAAGAGTGGTCGCCGGAGAAGAGTGGTGGTCGGAATAGTCTCTGGAGCGGTAGGGGTGGTGCATGTGGGGTGGGTTTATTATATTATATTAGAATTTAAACAAAAAAAAAAAAACCCTGATTTTTGAATTTTCAAACTATAAAAATGATTTTTGAATTAGTGTAAACTAAACACCTTATTTATGAATTTTTCCCTTCAAAATACCCGTGATTCATCTCCACCGGCTTAAGTTTTTCAAAACAGTTAAACCTTGTATAATTCACTACCTTGTCAAATATGTTTCTCGAGCTTCTCATCATTTATAAAAGAGTAAGAGAAAATTACATCCAACCCTACTTTTAAATTATCATTTTCATAAATCCCGATTCAAGTTTCATATTGCAAAATTCAGGTTTTAATTATTAATTTAAAAATATTTTTTTATTTTTATATCTATTTATAATAAATTAATTTATATATACTCCCCTACCCTATCTACCCCCAACCAAACCCTAAATCAATTGAACACATCTCCTCTCCTCTCAATCCATTTCTTCTCCCGTCTCTATAATCAACGCCGTCGCCGCTTCTTCCCTTCCTCTCCCTCTCGTCTCTTCTATCTGGGCTCCATCACCGGCCGACACTGTTGTGCGATGACAGTTTCTCACGCGGCTCCCTTCTCCTCATCTTTTCCCCTCTTCTCCCTCCAGGCCATTCCCATTGCCGCCTCTCTCTTTCTCTCCCTTCCCCCGAAAAAAATGGCCATTCCAGCCGCTTCCTTCGCCGCCAGATCTGAATCGCAGCGATGGTGATTGAGTTATTTTTGTGCTGTGGTGGTTGGGTTATTTTTGTGAGGTGGTGATCCGGTATGGGACGGTGGTGGGCTATGCGTCATTGTTGGGATCCACACCGCCGTTGAACACTGCTGCAATCTTAGGTACGATTCTTAGCCACTGTTGGTGTGGCTGTGGGTTTGGTATTTTTTGTTTCCATTTTTTTTGTGGCGTTTGAGTTGTGGTGGTGGTTTGTGGTGCCACAAAGCTGCGATCTGAGCTAACGGCCTCAGCAGTGATTTGGAATGGTTTTTACAGGTGGTAGTGGTGGTGTTGTTGAGGCGGTGTTGGTGCGGCTGCGGTGGTTGTGCAGTGATTTGGGATGGGGTTGTGGATGGATTTTGCTGAGGTGGTGGTATTGTTATTGAGGTTGTGGGGATGGTGGTGCTGTTGCGGGCCTGTAGATGACTTGGTGATGGCGATTGTGTTGTTGGTCGTGTGCAATGGCTATGGCTGTGGGGGCGGTCATGGCGGCGGTCGGGGGTGGGGACGAGATGAGTTGAGGGTGGGTGGGTGTCTGTGACCTAAAAATTGTAACTGTGATTCACTGTAACAGAGTTGTGACCAACAAAAATTTTAATTTTTTCAATCTGTGACCTATAAAAAATTTTAATTCGTGGTGGAGAAATAATCTGTGACCATAAAATTCGGTGGTCACAAATGTCAAATTCGATGGTCACAATATAAATTTTGTGACCTATGATCGATGAATAAATTGTGACTTTTAATTTTTTAAGTTGTGACCGATAAACAAATTGTGATCTATGAAAATTTTGAATTGTAACCTAAAAAATTTCGCTGGAGTTGGAACAATTGCCGGAATTGAAGAAGTCGTCGGAATAAAGCGACGGCGGAACGGTCATCGGAATCAGAGCAGTCGTCGAAACGATCGTCGGAATAAAGTGGTGATCGGAAAGGTCGTCGGAATAATCACTGGAGTTGTAGGGGTGGTGGAGGTGGGGGTGAGTTAATTATATTATATTAAAATTAAATATTAATAATAAATTGATTTAATAATTATTATCTCATAAATAAAAATTTCAAGAAACCTAATTTTTGAAATTTGAAACTCGTTTCTGTATTTTTGAAATGGGTGAAAGTAAATACTTGATTTATGTATTGTTCCCAAAGAGTAATGGTATCAAGCATCAATTTATGTAACTATATGATACTAAATGTTAAATTTATTTATTTGAATCTATCAAGTGTAACCACCTAAATTGGTGTTCTAGTACCACTGATGTTATATAACATTATTCTTTATACAAAAAGATATTAGGTAAATTTTGTTTACATTGTGGAAAATTTTAATTTAAATTATTGAAGACATTTCGATGAATACATGTAATTCACTACAACTTATTTACGTTTTTCGAAATAGTTAAACATAATATAAACCCTCGTTTGTTCCCCCATTTTTTCTCACATTTTTCAATAAAATAATATTATATGCAAATTCAAATTTTTTTAGTCATAAATTTTTGATCGATCTACCATTTCAAAATGTATACAAATGGGATTGAAAGAAACTCTAAATTAAGAGCTAAACCAAGTGCTGTGCATTTAAAATCTTGTACTACTCATTTTTAAAGAGTGTTTCGTGTAATTTTTATTCAAAAAATCATCTAGATTTATACGTCATGTTAGGGGACAGGTGAGGTTTGTTCAAATTTACGTGTTAGATTTTAAATAAACACACGTGTACGAACTATTCTAAACGTGTCTAGCTTTTACGCAGAGTTCGACACCTCACCACAGAGTATGCTGTGGGAGGCACAGAGAGTAAAATAAATTGAACTTTTTTCATTCTTTTTCTTCTTAATATTTGGCAATTCTGGAGAGAGATAGAGAGAGAGAGAGAGCTAGTGGAAATGGGTGGCGATAAGGCGCTTAGGGCTCTGCTCATGATGGTTCTTGTGGCGATGGCAGTTGGGGAGCAAGAGGTTCGAGGCCCAGTGCACCATGTGGTCGGCGGCCACCGCCGTTGGGACCCTACTTCCGACATCAGTTCTTGGTTGTCCGGTCGAGTCTTTAGGGTTGGTGACAAAATCTGTAAGCAACTTTCTTCTTCGAAGCTTTATGTTTTGAAGCATATGAAAGTTATTTTCTTTACAAAATAAGTTAAATGTGCTTAACAAAAGTGAAAAACACTTCTCCAAGAAAGTTTAGACAATTCAACTTTGGTTTATGCAGGGTTCACCTACTCAGCACCACAGGAAAGCGTCGTGGAGCTGAAGAGCCAGGAGGAATTTCAATCATGCGATCTCTCCAACCCTATCAAGATGTACACGGACGGTGTAGATCAAATTCCACTTGAAAGAGAAGGGAACAGGTACTTTGTGATTGGGAACCAGGAAAATTGCAATAATGGTCTGAAGCTACACGTTGATGTGAAGCCTTCGGAGAAGCAGCAGCTGCCTAACCAATGGCAGCAGCCAGTGTCATTTCCTCCTCCACCAGAGCCTAAGCCATTTCCGTCTCCACCGGCGCCAAAGCCAGAGCCTCCACCACAGCCGAAGCCCGAGCCTTTCCCTGTTCCTGTGCCGGAGCCGGACACACCCTCTGGCTCGACCCAATTAAATGGGCTTTCGTTTGGGCTGTTTGTTGGGTTTCTGGTTTGCTTTTGGGCCTATCGATGGGACTTTAGTGGCCCTGTTCGTTAAGGGTCTGTTTGGATTGAGTTGAGATCCAATTTAGTTTAATTCAATTAATAACTGCTTTTGTCTGTTCTGTGGGCTTTTAGTTGGAATTGAACCAGTTTTATTGTGTTGTTTTGGCATGATTTTTAAGATTTTGAAAGTTGCTTTTTAATTCATTTGTGAAAGATTATTGTGTTGTTTTGGCATTATTATGTTGCTTTTACTTTTGCAATGATAACATAAATACATACATAATAATTAATTAATCAACCAATGGACAGTAATATAAGAATGAACATAAATACATACATAATAATTAATTAACCAATGGACAGTACTACATTCATGAATCCTTCATAAGTCATAATTCATAAACCAAAAGCTATGTCGTCACCAAGCTTTAAAGAAAATCACAATAAAATATTCTTGAACACAAGCCTCTTATTTTATATGATTGGATTGAAACTATATAAGTTTTTAAGAAAATATCGGCAGATCTTACATCGACATATCGATCTAATATGGCAATAATATCAATCTTACATCGACATATCGATCTAATATGGCAATAATATCAAGGCAATAATATCAAATAAAAGAGCGACCAAAATGTGCGCGACATATTCTGAAAGTAGGTGGAAATTTTGATACAAAAAAAAGGGTGTAGTGTGCACTCAATTGGCAACGATATTGATGCATATCCTCACTTTTGTTACACAATTGAGTAAGTATTCATAATCAACGAAGCAAAGCAAATAATCCCACGAACAAACTCATTACTGAAAATAATTGAACAAACTCATTACTGAAAATAATTGTATGAACAACAGAACAATTGATTTATATAATTTCCCAAACTCTCAATCCTCAATGACTCTCTGCGGGTTAATTACCCTAATAGTCACTGAACTTTACCGAACGTTTCCACCATGTCACTGAACTTTAAAAACCATGTGGTTAGCCACTGAACTTTCGAAAATGCAGCCTCATCCATCACTGAATTTTAAAATCACCCCATTAGTCACTAAACTTTGCAAAAGTTTCTCAGATGGTCACTGAATCTAGTGACCACCTTGGAAACTTTTTACAAACTTCAGTGACCCCGTAGAAATCTTTTGCAAAGTTCAGTGACTAATGGGGTGATTTTTAAAAATCAATTATGGGTGGTGTTGCATTTTCGAAAATTCGGTGACTAACCACATAGTTTTTAAAGTTCAGTGACCTGGTGGAAACTTTCGGTAAAGTTCAGTAACTATTGGGGTAATTAACCCACTCTCTGCTTCTTATGTGACCATAAAACATAGAGTTTTTCAAATGAAAAAAGAAAATAATAATAATTAAAAAAAAGCGCACACACAATGCAAAAACTAATAGAAATCCATGAAAATACTTTATTTCGTAAAAATCAACTAATCTAAAAGCTACGACATTTTTAAGTCATCAGAAATTAATAAAAATAAAAATATACTAACAATCAATTAATTTTCGATGTAATCGTGTATATAAAATGAATATCAATAAAATAGAATGGGCAAATCAATTAAAAAAAACTCAAGCAATTTAACTTTAAATGTGTACAATATTTTTATATGATTCACAATATCATTATTGAAGAAGCCCTCATTGTTTGGAGCAAGAGAATGTCAAGTATAAAAAGGTTGGATTTTGGAGAAATTACGAACTTAACAAAAGGTCTAGGTTTTGATTTAGCATGACAATTATTGGAGGTTTTGAATGTTATTAGTGGGTTGAAAAAAAATTAAGGAGGGAAGAAATTACACAAATCCAAGTATTTCAAGATCTCACATTTCAAAAATCAGATTTGATAATTTTTTTTTCCAAAAATCAGGTATCAATTTAAACTTTTTAATATCTTAAAATTAAATTAATTTCATCCACCCAAACCCTAATTATTTTACGAACCGTGCTTGGAGTACAGGGGCTGACTTACAGGCCCCTGACAAGCAAGATACATTTGGAGGGGTGGGGCCAAATTTTTTTTTTTTTTTTTAATTCAGATGTGGGGCCTCGGCACAGTGAGGTGCCTGTGAGGCCCCTGACGATAATGCTCCTGTACTTGGAGCATTATTGTTTTTCATTATTCCTTCTCTCTCTCTCTCCTCTTCTCTCCCTTCTCTTTCTTCTTTACCCGATTTTCACATTTTCTTCTCTCTACATCTCTCCTTTCTCTCTTTTCTTTTCTTTCCCTTCTCTCTATTCAAACGTCAGTGATCGACGAAGAAGTTGCGTCGACCGGCTACGCTGCAGCATGGAAGGCTGCTGCTGCTGTTAACGACAGCGTCACGACGCTGCAATCAGTGTCAATTGATGCCAGTGACTCCTCAATCCTCACGACAATCACTTAAGCTATTCATCACGGTACAAAGGCGACGACTCTTCACAGGCGATTCATCATGGCACGCGAAACAGAAGCAGCGTTGTGTTGCTTCGCTTTGCCGACAGTGGTTGTAGTGAGGTTTGGGCGGTGTTTTGTGGGGTGGCGATTTTGTAGTGTTGGGTGGTGGATCTTGCTGTTGGGGTGGGTTTATTGAATTTTAGCAGTAGAAGTGGTGGTTTTATACTCGAAAATGGTGGTTTGTTGGTAGTGGTGGTGGTGAATCAGTGGTGGTTTGTTTGTGATAGAGATTCTGGTCACTAGTTGTTGTGAGGTGGTGGGGTTTCTGGCTACGTTGGGGTTGGCGCAATGGTGGTGGTTCTGGCTACGCCGACAATACACTAGAGATTTGGGTGGTGTTTTTCTGTGGTAGTGGCGATGGTATTTGTGTGGTGGCAGTTTTATGATGGTGGCTGTGGTGATGTGTAGTTGGTAGTTGTTGTTTTGGCGATGGTGAGGGTGGTGACTGGTGGTATGTGTGGTGGTGTTGCTAGTACGGTGCGGTGTGGCGATGGTGGTGTTGCAAAAATGGTGGCGACGGTAGCAGTGATACTGATGGTGGTGATGGAAGTGGTGATTGTGATATTTTTGTTGGCAGTAGTGTTGTTGTGGGAGGTTTGGTTGACCTATGACCAAGTATTCGTAGTGAATCGAGATCGGGGGTGGGGTGTTTGGTGCATGTGACCAACTATTTGGTTTAATATAACTAACTATTAAAATGTGACATTAAAATTCGATAATTTGTGACCAACAAATTTGAAAATGTGTAATCGATATATAAATTGTGACCTATAGTTTTTTTGATCCGTGACCAATGAAATAAACTGTGACGTATAAAATTCTTGATTTGTGACCTTGAAATAATCTGTAACCAATTAATTTGATAATAGGTGACTAGTAAATAAATTGTGACTTGTAAGTATGCATTTGTAACCATGAATTGTATAATTTTGATTTTAATATATTTAATTAATTAACTAAATACCTGATTTTTGCATTTTTAAAACTTAATACCTGATTTTTGCAATTGTATAAGTTAATGCTTGATTTGTGAACTCTTTCTGTATGCCAACATGACTATAAAGTTCCTTCAGATTTATTAAAGAATGAAATCACGAAATTCTTCCACGCATATATTTATCTTCTTCAATAATTAGAAGAAAAAAAAAGGCTTCACAAGCTACAATATTTATCAATCCATGAATTTGACAAATAAAACTTCCTCAGGCGCTCATGGAGCAACATTCTCCAGATCAATAAAGTCTACCTCTCTCTCAAAACTACGTAATTTGCCTCTTGGGTCTTCTGTATCTTTGATATTCTTCTCAGTGTAGCCGCGAAAGCATCCTTATCCTGCATATGAGTAATTTACCCACTTGTATCATAAGCCATCATATATGTACTTGATTTATTAAGCTTACAAAAAACACCCAACTAGCAACAATTAATAATCCAACAAGAAAAGGGACCATCAAGTTGACACAATTTCTTACCTCTTTTGACTTCAGTCTAGATTTAAATTTGCCAACAAGATCCTGTGTTGTCACTTGTGTCTTCTGCATTAAAACGGCCTTGATTTCATCTGCTGTAACTGGTCCAGTAGGTGGCGTAGCCCCAGTTTTTGAAGGTGCTGATGGTAATGCACTTTTAGAAGGTGTACTACTTTTTGCCACGGACGCAGTCTCATTTTTCACGGATTTCAGTTCCTTAATCACCACCACCCAAAAAAAAATATGTATAAAGAAAATAAAGAGGGAGCGATGTCGTGAAGTTTTCGAGAATATGAAAGACGGTAAATAAGTTTCATCTAAAATTGAAGGCAACTACTTACATTTTCTGTTTTTGATTTCTTCATAGGTGTAGCATTAGTTGTTTTTGAATCCTCACCACTAACTTTTCTTTTCCCTTTTGAAGACTTGGAAGTAGGCGGGGTTCCACGACCAGATCCAGAAGCAGCAGCTTTCAATGGACTGTTATTCTCAACCGGTTCTTCTTTAAGAGCTTCCTTCTTTGGGGCAAGCACGGGAGAAATGTCATCTTCCATCTAACAAAACAAACAAAAAAATGCACTCTTGTTGGCAAGCTAGTAAGAGAAATGAGGTCAACTATAAATCCTCACAACTTTGCCAAACTGCAAAAGTAGATAGAAAATGAACAGTCAGAGTTTCTATTAGGTTTTGTGCCAACTCAACCAAATGCAGCCATCAGGGGTTAAAATAAGATGAGAAAGTCAGTGTTGAAGATAAAATTTTAAATAAATTTGTCCCCATCTTTTAATAGATTAAGCTTTTAGATGAGTTCAACTCTCATCGTCAACCATTTATGAATCTGACAAAAAATGAATCCAACCTGCACGTGAGAGGACGTGTTGTAGGCTAAATTTAAATAAATCAAGCTTTAAGGTTTAGATGATATGTGGTTCAACAGTCAGAGCCCCCAGCAGAAAGAAGGTTCCAGGTTTGTCTGCACAAATTTATCTAAAAAGTTCAGCAATTTTTGAGAATCATTGTAGCAGAACTGCATATAATTTCTCCAAGTGATGAGTTATTTCATTTTAACCCCCTCGTGATAAACGGATATTCAAAGTACTCCATTAAACAATTTCGTTGCTCAACATAGTATTTAGACA